TGACTCCCACCAAATTGCCACACGAATGAGCCACACAAAATACGCTAACCCTAAGGTTCTATTTATAGTGCATAGGACTTAGGTTACAATAAGAATCCTAATAGGAAGTAAATCCAAATCCTAATCAAATAGGTAATTAACAAAATCTCTCCACCAAGGAAACTAACTAAGAAGTCAAAATCCAAACCCAAATAGGACACCAAAACCAACTAGGTAACACAAACCTAATTTTTTGCATCATCCTAATTTTGAGCCGTAAAACCCAACAAGAGCTTCTAAAAACTGACAAAAGAAAGCTTTCTATGGTGGATCTGCAATTGAAAAAGGGAAGGGGTGAACAAACTAGGTTTTGTTGTTGAGTTCTGATTTGAGTGTGTTGAAAGAGTTCTCTGCTTGCATCCCTTGCTACTTTTATAGCCTTCATTAGCCTCAGTGTCCAAGTTTTCCCTTTTGGTGGTGGCTTATAGAGCACGGTGAGTCATCACCTGCTTTTGTTATTTACCTACTTATTTCATAGAAAAGTACTTTTGCTGAGGGTGAGCTTCCATCCATACCTTGTCACTTTCATCATAGGCTTGTTGCCTATTTAGTTGCCAAGAATGATATTTAAATCCTTCCTAGGCTACCGGCTCTTCCAGCCCAATCACAAAAAGACCTTTGCATGCCTGGACTCTATTGCATTGAGCCCAATATTAAATATCCACCAAACAGAAGGTCATTGAAATAGAACATCTTGGTACTTTCAATATGATAGCAGACCCTTTGACAAAAGCCCTACATGTTATAGCCTTCCAAAGACATGTCACAAGCAAGGGTTTGATACCATGCCTTGATCACGTTTGAATGTGGGAGTGAGGTATGATATCCTTACTCATATTAATGATTCATATTTATGCTTTGGTGTAGCTTCAAACATCATTACAGATTTGTACATTATGCATTTTTTTGTTTTTTCATGAAAGGTTTGGTAATGCAGAAGCAGTAAAGGATATAGAAATGTATTAAAGGAGATCAAATGTGGGAGCAATGCTGGTAGCCTAGTACCATTAAAGCTCTCTAATGAAGTTCCCTAGTTTACAATGCCAGCAATTGTCTTGGTCAGTTTGTAATTTTGAAGTGCTTATACAACATTTCAAGTATAATGTTTTCTTGAGTTTAACTATTAAGTTTGTGGTTAATTGTAAGAGTCATTATGATTAACATAAGTCAGTGATCATCTTGTTTATCTTAACATATGTTTCATATATGGTTTAATTATACTCATGAGTTGTTGAGTTCTATTATTTCCTTCATTTTTGTAATTTACCATGATCAAATTACTACAAGTTCAATATTAGTATAAGTTCATTTTTTTTTTCTACAATATACCCAAAACTATGGTTTATTATAAATCGCAAAAAAATAAAAAAATAAAAAAAATTATAGCTTGACGGCCGCACGTGCTCCATGTTATCTGAATTTGTGTTGTCCACTTATTTGCCTTTAAAAATCACCACATGCACATGATGGGGCATTTGGGAGTAGGCCTGGCAAATGGGTCGTGTCTATCGTGTTCGTGTCGTTTTCGTGTAACACCTGTTATCTTAACGGGTCGTGTCGTGTCACACTCGTTATCTTAACGGGTCCTTAACAGGTCGTGTCACTTTACCCAACGGGTAAAGTGACCCGACCCGTTATGACCCATTATGACCCGTTAAGAAAAATATATATTTTTTTAAAATTTGCACATACCACACATTGCCACATAAATATAACTTCAAAACATTAAAACATTTCTCGTTCAAGTACTATATCTACACTCGAAAATAAAAGCCTAATAAAAAAAATAATACATACACTACTAATATATTACAAATATTAAATGTGCAAGGATAAAGAGTTTTTGTTTTTAAGATTGTAAGTCTTTCTCAAAAGTTTACACCTGCATTTACAAAATCTTCAATTTACATCGATCATCATGAAATTGTATTCAATTTACACCTACATCTATATAATTATTATAGTTTTTACTTTTTAGGGATATAAAATTATTAAATTAATGTATATAATTATTAATATTATAGTTGATTCATACTTTTATTAAGTATATAAATTATAACATAAGATTTTGTGATATCCACATCCACTAGTGTATATATTTTAAATTGAAGATCAAATTCATTCTTTGTATTCATATAGGGTCAAGGAGTGTAGCTGTAAAAATTCATCAAAATCAGAGTTAAAATAACCGTTAAATCTTGATTTTTCGTTTATAACCGTCGAAAAGCTTTGTCCCGTTACTTGATCTCTGAATGTTTTTTTTTTTGTGATTTTTTGCTGATGTGATCTCCAAGCATATACAAACAATTTTGACGGTTTGGATCGTTGAAATTAGTTTTGGAGAATTCGTAAAACGATAGATTGACTAACACTTAGAGTTTATTTATACTTTTATTAAGTATAACATAAGATTTTGTGGTATCCACTTGTGTAAATATTTTAAATTGAAGATCGAATTCATTCATTGTATTCATATAGGGTCAAGGAGTGTAGTTATAAAAAATCATCAAAATCGGAGTTAAAATAACCGTTAAATCGTAATTTTTCGTTTATAACCGTTGAAAAGCTTTGTCCCGTTACTTGATCTCTGAATGTTTTTTTTTTGTGATTTTTTGCTGATGTGATCTCCAAGCATATACAAACAATTTTGACGGTTTGGATCGTTGAAATTAGTTTTGGAGAATTCGTAAAACGATAGATTGACTAACACTTAGAGTTTATTTATACTTTATTAAGTATAACATAAGATTTTGTGGTATCCACTTGTGTAAATATTTTAAATTGAAGATCGAATTCATTCATTGTATTCATATAGGGTCAAGGAGTGTAGTTATAAAAAATCATCAAAATCGGAGTTAAAATAACCGTTAAATTGTGATTTTTCGTTTATAACCGTTGAAAAGCATTGTCCCGTTACTTGATCTCTTAATGTTTTTTTTTTGTGATTTTTTGCTGATGTGATCTCCAAGCATATACAAACAATTTTGACGATTTGGATCGTTGAAATTAGTTTTGGAGAATTCGTAAAATGATAGATTGACTAACACTTAGAGTTTATTTATACTTTTATTAAGTATAACATAAGATTTTGTGGTATCCACTTGTGTAAATATTTTAAATTGAAGATCGAATTCATTCATTGTATTCATATAGGGTCAAGGAGTGTAATTATAAAAAATCATCAAAATCGGAGTTAAAATAACCGTTAAATCGTGATTTTTCGTTTATAACCGTTGAAAAGCTTTGTCCCGTTACTTGATCTCTGAATGTTTTTTTTTTTGTGATTTTTTGCTGATGTGATCTCCAAGCATATACAAACAATTTTGACGGTTTGGATCGTTGAAATTAGTTTTGGAGAATTCGTAAAATGATAGATTGACTAACACTTAGAGTTTATTTATACTTTCATTAAGTATAACATAAGATTTTGTGGTATTCACTTGTGTAAATATTTTAAATTGAAGATCGAATTCATTCATTGTATTCATATAGGGTCAAGGAGTGTAGTTATAAAAAATCATCAAAATCGGAGTTAAAATAACCGTTAAATCGTGATTTTTCGTTTATAACCGTTGAAAAATTTTGTCCCGTTACTTGATCTCTGAATGTTTTTTTTTTTGTAATTTTTTGCTGATGTGATCTCCAAGCATATACAAACAATTTTGACGGTTTGGATCGTTGAAATTAGTTTTGGAGAATTCGTATGCCATCAATCAAGTTCCCTGTGTGTGTGTGTGTGTGTGTATATATTTATTAAGTAGATTTAAATCTATTTATTTTGTACGTATAAATTATAATTGACTGGTACACGGAATAGTATATACATCATGTATCACGTGTGTCATTATAAAAATAGTGAGATATGTCATGACAGTCATGTGTGTGATAAAAAGTTAATAACTTAAAAAAAAAAAAAAAATTTCTCACCACTTCTATTAATTTTCATTTTTCCCTCTCTTTTTTGTTTCCTTTTCAACTTTTTCTTATCATTTTCACTTTTCCCTCCAACATATTTCCCTAATTCCCTCATTTTTTTTGTTTCATTTTCAACTTTCTTAACATTTTCATTTTCCCTTCATTTTTTTTTTCAAAAAGGGCGGCAAGTTGGCAACGGCAAAAAATTGATTATTGAAATTTGAATGGAAATAAATCACATCAAATTTCAATGGATGCAAAATCATGCAATGCATCATGCATATTAAATTATTAATTAATAATTATTATAGTTTTTATAAAATTTAATATATATACATATAATTATTATAGATAGACTTAATATTTTGGGGGTATAATTATTATAGTATATATAATTATTATAATTATTATAAATTTTATAGTTAATTTAATATATATATATATATATTTATTATAATTTTTAGGGGTATAAAATTGTAAAATTAATGTATACAATTATTATAGTATTTTTTTAGGGTTATAAAATTATAAAAATAATATTCTGCTTATCGTGTATCGTGTTACCCACGTGTATACCCGAACCAACCCGTTATCTTAACAGGTGCTTATCGGGTTACCCGATAACGACCCGATTCGTTATCGTGTCGACCCAAACACCTGTTAATTGCGTGTCGTGTCGTGTCGGGTTATCGGGTCGTGTCAGAAATTGCCAGGCCTATTTGGGAGTATGAATCCCACAACAAGGGAAAGAAGGGACGGTACATGTAGGGGTGGGCAAACAGGTATAGGAACCGCAGGTCGGCGCGGGTAATTACGGTTCGAGGCAGGTACAGGCCGATTCCTAATTTTTAAAAAGAGAAACGGGGTGGGACGGGGAGGGGCGGGCCTTTGAAATTTTAGGTTTGGGCCGGTTCCTAAAGTGTAGAAAAACGGGTACCCAGACCGGCCAGTTTGTAATTGTAATGGACGGATGAGATTGAATGATAAACTATCATCCAATCTCAACCGTTGGTTTCTACCCTAATCATCCTTCCTCCCAAGTCCACTCCACGTTGTCCATCCTCGACTCCAACTCTCAGTCATCTTCTCCTCTGTCGTCGCAACCAACACGACGGCACCACCCATCCTCCCCTCCACGGTTCCACCCACACGATGGCACCACCCATCCTCCTCTCCTAGGTCTCCTCGAACTCAACTGTCACTGGAGTCCCTCCCCAAACCCAACCAGCCATGTCGAAGCTCATCGGTGTCCTCGCCTTCCTAACCCTAACCCTCCAATTTTTGGCCCACTCATTGCCAGTAAACTCCTTGTTCTTCAAGTCCCTCCAGTTTTGAGGCTTCGAGCTGGATTCAAGCTCGCAGATGATCCCAAGATCTCCTCGGAGCGATACGGCCTCTATGGATACGAGAAAGTTTGTGTTTTTGTACTTCTGATTGTTTGTGTTGTTCTCTCTCCCAAGATCTCCTTTCTCAGTTTTGATCTTCTGATTGTGTTTTTGTGATTTGGGAGAAAGTTGTGGAATTTGAGAACTTCTGCTTGGTCGATTGAAATGGAAGATCAATTTACTCAGGCCGAGGACTCTAACAATGTTTGTTTGCGAGCTTTAGCATGTCGTTGGGCTCGATTGATGCGACGACGTTTAAGCTCATGTTGCTGCTATTGGAGACACCATTGAAGTAGAGCTATTGGTTGAGCTGGAGGTCGGAGGGATAAGACCGGCGGCGAGGAAGTTTCAATCTGTGCCAGAATAAAATAAAAAAAAAAGAAAAAAAAAAGTTTCAAACAGGCCAGGTTAGGTCCGATTCCTGTTTTAAAATATGGTATACTCGCTCCAGTCCGGCCCATGCCCAACCCTAGCCACATGTGCTTATAAAGTAATGGACTTACTCCCCATTGCCAAGTGATTTTATTGTCGAACCCCAACCTCCTTCAGAAACAAACTTACAGGTTAAAAATGCTACGTGCCGGTTTCAAATTTCCAATTTTCTAGTTGAAAATTTTTTTATTTTTCTTTTCCAGTTAAAAAAAATTTTGTTAGTTTCTAAGTTAGTTTCCTGTCTTGTGGACTAAAGGTTTGTTTCGGATTTGTTTCCTACATTCTCCTCCAAGAAGAATTAAAGTATTCCTAGTGCATGTGACTTGTGAGAAAGAATTCTGAAATTTAACCCTAAAACTTTTATTTTTAGAAAATGCACATGATTAAACAGGAATTGGAAACTTTGAATACTTAAGTAGTATGTTCCTCCAAAATTATTTTTACGTTGCCGTTATGTTGATGGAGTGTGTATATATAATATACTATATTGAATTTGATAAGTGTTGCGTCCTGGCAAAACCAAGTTGCAAAGAAACTAATTAGTTTTCTTCAGTATCAGAATTTAATTTTGTTAATATTCCGCAAACATCCAAAGATAATATGGTTTGGAAGTTCCTATTTATACCCACCCACAATTTCTTTTATGCATCGAACTAAGCATATCCACCACAAGAGCACAACTAGAGAGATAGAGAGAAACAGAGAAAATGAAGAGTTTCATTTCCAAAGAGTCCATTGTCCTACTAGTAATTCTTCTTTCGGCAATTTGCTTGGTCGCTGAAGCTCAACAATGTCGTCCAAGCGGCAAAATCAGAGGAAGGAAGGCCCCTCCTGGACAATGCAACCAGGAAAATGATTCTGATTGTTGTAAGCCGGGCAAAATGTACCCAACCTACACATGTTCACCGCCATTGTCTGGGAGCACCAAGGCCACCCTCACCCTTAACAGTTTCGAGAAAGGTGGAGATGGTGGCGGTCCATCAGAATGTGACAACCAATACCACAATGACAACACACCAGTTGTGGCACTGTCCACCGGATGGTATAGCAACGGAGATAGGTGCCATAAACAAATCAGAATTAATGGTAACGGACGTAGCGTGTTGGCCATGGTGGTGGATGAATGTGACTCTACTGAGGGATGTGATGCAGATCATGATTACCAGCCTCCTTGTCCTAACAACATTGTTGATGCCTCAAAAGCTGTTTGGAAAGCCCTGGGTGTGCCTGAAGACCAATGGGGTGGCCTAGATATCACTTGGTCCGAAGCTTAGTTACATTAATTAATTTCCGTCTTGCTTGTTGCTTTGCGTGTATGGTCGTTGTGGATTGTGTTCTATAATATGTTACAAGTACTATACTATTTAAGTAGTCAATATATTTAAACTTGTTTTTCTTATACTTTGTCTACTGTAAATTATAAAGTAATATTACATAATCATTTATATATCACTCGACTTCTGTTTTGTTTTAGCTCGTTATCTAGGTCTTATCTCATACCTTCAAGCAGCTGTTCTTTTTGGCTTTTCTTTCTTTCATGTCAAGGCATACTTGCCTTCTCATTACAACAAGTTTAAAAAAAAATGGAGATAGTGAAAGTAAAAGAGTCTTACTTTGGTGAAAAGAGAAACCTTGCAAGAACTTATAAGAAGTTGGGGTACTCCCCATAATGCCAATTGGTTTTATGATGGAACCCCAATTTTTTCATAGTATCAGAGCAGGTTATCTCATATGTGAAGCCAAACGGCCATACGCGCTCCACGACACCCCATTGTGTTGTCCACATGTTAGGCTTGAAAATTCGCCACATGTGAGGGGACATGTTGAAAATAAATCCCATATTGATGGATGGAGGAACCTTGCATGGGCTTATAAGTAAGTTGGGCTACTTCATATATTGTCAATTAGTTTTACGATGAAACCTCAACTTTCTGTATAGTATCAAAGTAGGTTGGTCCATATGTAAAGCCCAATAGCCACACGTGTTCCACGTCAATTCGTGTTGTCCACATGTTAAGCATGAAAGTTCGCCATGGGGAGTGTGTGAGAATGTAATGTTAAAAGAGTTTCACATTGGTGAAAGGAGAAATCTTACGAGGGCTAATAAAAGGTTTGGCCACTCCTCAGATTACCAACTCGGGTGCTACGGTTCATACGACTTATGACCCTAATGAATTTGTTGGTGAAACTACAGCATAACTAATGCCAATGGTGAAGCCTCTGTTGTCGTTGGCGCTAGCACTGTTCATCTTTCTTCTACTCTCTCTTTACCCAATACTTTAATTGTTGTCTCATGGAAATATAAATTGAGGTCTCCTTTTGTCTTGTCTAGGATATTCTCACGAAGGAGATCATTAGTTGTGGTAATAAGAGGAGAGATTTATATTTTGTGGATGATGTCAGTACGGGTCAGGTGAACTTGACCCAAGGGGCAGCTAATAACAAGAGGAGACAAAGTGTAGTTGTGGCATCCTCGTTTGAGTCATCCATCTTTTAGTTCTTTGAAACATTTGCTACCAAATTTATTTGTTGGTTGTTCTGATTCTGATTTCAAGTCTGATATTTTCATTTTAGCCAAGAGTCACCGTGTGTCTTATCCTTTGAGTTCTAATACTGCTCCTTTTGGATTAATAGATTCCGATGTTTGAGGGCCATCCCCGATTTCTACTTTTTCTGCCGTTCAATGGTTTGTAGCTTTTGTGGATGATTGTACACGAATAACTTGGTTTTATGCCCTAAAAGTGAGGTTTTCAGCAAATTATGTTTGACGGTTCATGAAGCCTTGCAAAAACTGGAGCTTCATCCTCTGAACAATCGCAAACCTGAACAAACAACTAAGATTGTAATCTTCATTTCTCTTCGTAAATACGTGAAGTGATCTTGCGTTCCCCTTTTCTCAGAGTGTACTCTTCCCCTTTTTTTTCTAATTTTTGGATTGAATAAATCAAAGAGAGTGGACTGACTAAAACAAGGATTGCAGAAAAAGAAAATGGGAGTGTGACAATCACTACCAGACAATACCAACTCTTACTATAATATTGTTCGGAACCATATTAACAGTCATTATTATGTGAAGAATAGTCCAAACAATTAAACAAGATTTCGTTACTGATAATTACATAAAATTCTCGGTAACCATATAGGACACTATTATAGTCAATGGGTTCAAAGATTTGTTTTAGCTCTAATTAATTAAGATTTTGATGCTTAAAATGATTCCGTTACGTTTATGGAGTCTAATACATAACAGCATAGCAAATCATATGTTGAAGTTTGATTGTTATTTTGGTAATAGGGAATTGCTATATATGCTACCCTCAAACGCTGTTATGCATCAACCATATCCCACACAACAACTCTAGAGAGAGAGAGAGAAACAGAAAGAAAATGAAGTTAGCGATTCTCTCAAAAGGGTCCATTATTCTACTGGTCGTTCTCCTTTCAGCGATTTGCTTGCTCACTGAAGCTCAACAATGTCGTCCAAGCGGCAGAATTAGAGGAAGGAAGGCCCCTCCTGGACATTAATGCAACCAGGAGAATGACTCTGATTGCTTTAAGGCCGGCAAAATGTACACAACCTACACATGTTCACCACCACTGTCCGGCAGCACCAAGGCCTACCTCACTCTTTAACAGTTTCGAGAAAAATGGTGATGGAGGCGGTCCATCAGAATGTGACAACAAGTACCACAATGATAACACACCAGTTGTTGCATTGTCGACTGGATGGTACAACCATGGAGGAAGGTGCCTTCACAACATCACCATTAGCGGTAACAAGCGCAGTGTGGTGGCGATGGTGGTGGATGAGTGCGACTCAACCAAGGGATATCTGACGTCGATCATGACTACCAACCACCGTGTGTTTGGAAAGCATTGGGCGTTGCTCAGAAACAATAGGGTGGCTTAGATATCACATTGTTTGAGACTCCGATGCTTAGTTACTTTTTGTATCTGTCTACCTTGGTTCATTTGTTCTAATCTATTTCTTCTGTTCTGTCTTATATATGTGGTGCACTTGTTTCTGTTTTTCAACCTGTTCCTGTCTGTTTGCTTAGATCGGCAAAGCATAACCAATGTTGGGAAAAAGTGGTTTTCATCTTTTCTCCGTCGGTGGCCAAAATTTTTGAAAACACATGAAAAGGTAGAAAGGTGAATAGAGGGAATGAAAACAACATAGAAGAGGAAGGTCTATCAACGTAACATGTCAAACACGAGAAATTTAATCATCGTTCATCCTGATTGAATCAGAAAAGTAAACTTCAGTTAAGGAAATGAGAAGATCAACGTAGATCAATGTAGACGTTCCTTCACTACATGAAACATAAACACTCTGTTGATCAAGAATGTGTGATCCTAATTTACAAGCACGTATGCCAGTGAAGGAAAGAAACTTCAATCTGAATCTTGTTTTTATGTCGTCAAAGAATAAAAGTTACTATACCTACAGATGAAAGTGAATTGAAATAATCAAAACTATGAATGGGTAAATTGAAATCATGAATGCTCAATTTCAAACTAAATTTTGATTAAACTAAATAAATATAGTACATTCCCAATGTCTATCATGGATAAATGAAGTTAGAATCATCGAAGCCAACAATCATCTGGCTTCTGTTTTCCGTCATCGATGCTTCAAAGAAAAATAAATGTAACTAGCAATGAAACTGAAATTTACACACATGACCATGTAAACGAAATAGTTACCCTCGCATCAAATCAATGCCAACATGACTGTTATGCATATCCAGTGGCTGTGATGCCTGCCATGCGGCCAATGAAGCACTTTGGCTAAGACTTTGATCTGGTTGAATGCTGTTTAGTGCAACTGAATTGTCAACTGTGTTATGTTCCAAGTTTGTGACACCTTCTACGGCTTCCTTTTTCTTGTTCTTTGTCTTCAAACCACCCCATGTGAAGCTACCTAATATCACCTGGAATCATCCACCATGTGTTTCAGTCTCAAATTTAACAAGGGAGACGAAGGAAGAAAAACGGTAACTCCTATAAGACATTTTCTCGTCTACTTATGTCTACTCCTATCGTTCAGACAACCAACATGATGTTTTCTGTGGCAGTAGTAATAGCTAAAAATTATGCTGGCATGTTTCTGTTCTGGTGAAGCCACTACTCTATCTGAAGACCATTTACGGTCATACTAACAATACTTGTAAAGAAAACAGCACTGACCCCATAAAATTCTTTTCCCATTGAAAATATTAACTACCAATTGATAGGGATGAAAAAGATTTACTGAGCAAACACAAGAACCGAAAGCTAAAGCAATGAACAAGTTACTACCTGAACAGGGGTTGCTGCAATAAGCATCCCTCCTACTCCACCACCAATGACACGACCATCAGGACTAGCAAGGGAGACGCTCAGACCGCCACTTCGGTTTCGGGAGCTACCAATTTCAGTGAGCAAGTAAGAACCTGAGAGACATATAATCTCAAACCGTCCCTAAAGAAGTCGCAATCCACAAGAAAAGAAACTGTTTATTATTATCAGTAAAAAAGAAAAAAGAAGTTTCAAAGAAGATAGAACAATCAAACATTTTAACTAAAAAGAAAACAGAAGGATAATATGTAGAGCAACATGCATAAAATGTGTGTCACGCTGTGTATGGTATGCATACAAGCACACAAATGTCCATTTTTTCTGCAACCTATATTTTCTAAGCTGAATTTTACGATGGCTAACATATATAAGAATGCCCTTCGCATTTGCCTCAGATAAACGGCAAGCATCAACCCACCGTTCATGAGATGGCTCCGAAGTCGATGACACTAACTGGGCTCAGTTTTCACTTTTCAGGCATAATCTCATTCCTCATAGCTATAAACATTACTCACTCCAAATATACAAGAACATTTAAACCTTAGTGACTCTAGAACCTTCAGAAAGATCAAAAGTCTTATTACTCATCTACTAGACAGCTCATAACTTTACAAGAATTGGCATATCATAAAGTGTCCATACCTCATATGTGACTGTACCCCCAGAAGTTGAAGGCTGACGAAGTGTCACAGTAGAGACGGCACCATTAGCTGACAAGATGCACACAGCTCTTGGCCCTTGCTGTGAAAACGCCATTATTTTTGTTGCAACGTCCTGCAAGAAAAGATAAAAGGATTCAAGGCCTAAAGGAACTTCTCTCATTTGAGTAATGCAAGAATTCAATTGATAGTAGTAATAAAAAAATAACAATCACACCAGCGAAAATGATGAACCTTAATGTTTATCACTTTTTCCCATCAGATTTAGCATTAATTTCGTACAAGCAATGATCGTCATGGTACTTTGGTAGTTCAGAACTCTTTTGAAACTGCTTGTCATAGGCTACATTGAAGCCAACCACATAAAAATGGCTACTCTGAACCTACCAAACTCAGGCAGACTCGCAAGTATGGCTAATTTGGGTAAATACTACTCCTTTAGAAAATTATTATGTGTAATATCTATC